ATGCTATAAAAACCAAGAAAAACGATCATTTTCCTGTAGTCTGGTTCCCTGACTCCATATAAGAAGAAACAGAGCAGTTTACATACATTGGGGAATTGTAAGGTCACGGAACCAGTCTAGCTGGCTCGTACCCGTTCATAGGTTTGTAATCGATTGCAAACAAGTGCAATGGTCAATTGGGGCCAGTATTTGAAAAAAAAGCCAGTTGTTTCCAACGCTGATCGGCCGATCAGCGTTGGAAATTGATACAAAAATACCACTTTTCTTGAAAATGACAGTATACCAGGTGCCATAATTTTACAGGATGCTTTAGACTGTCATTTACCAACATCCTATTAAGGTATTTCGCAAAAACTTGGTAGTTTTATTTTTCGATGTTTGCAAATGTTGTATATTCCCTTTAAAAGGGATGATTGAGGAGGCTAATCACCACGGCTAGGAGGGTTTTTTTTAACGGGATAATTGAGGTGACTTATCATCACGGCTAGGAGGATATTTTAAGAAGGGATTATTGAAATGAAAACCATCATGGCTTGGAGGATATTTTTAGAAGAGAAAATTGAAGTGACTATAACCATCATCACGGTGTCACACGTAAATCCGACTCCTATGAAAATCGGACCCCTATTTCCCTATTATTGGTTGATCCCTCGCACGTGACAGGTCACTCTCACGAAACGATCCTAAAAATAGCATAGTATCGTACTCACGCGTGCGCAGTACTACCAATGAGTCCACATTTCATGGAGTCGGATATTCACGCTACACCGGCAGTTTCACGCATAAAAAGTACGCCCTCTGTTGGCGAGATGGAGTTAGTGGTAATACCACGTGACAACCTAGCGCGATGTAAATAAACCTTACGCACAGCGCTAGCGAGTTTCGTTGGTGGATTTAAATACCCCGCGAAAGATATAAAAATTGATTGGTTTATTAAAATGAATATGCAACAGATTACCAAATAAGGCTCTACAAACCATCAATGAAGTTATGTACGGTCGACAGTTGCCATCTAGCGTGCACAAATTATGATAATGTGTGTTTTTTATGCAGCGTGTGACTTGTGACCTGGTACGATTTTAGTCCGAGTAACTTGGACCCAACTTATCGCCTTTTTTAACATTTGGACATGGTCTGGCGATAGTGGGGTCCAAGCTAATACCGCGACCTGGACAACATCATCCTGTCACTGTCCCAAAAACCAACATAATGAGTCACGTTTGTAAACACATACACTGTACATGTGCATTTCCAACGGTAAAAGGGAATCGGGAACCAGCTTGAACTGGTACCCGCCATAAAAGCTGCGCTAGTTCCCGACTCCCTATTATCGTTTGAAATGCACATGTGTTTACAAACGTGATCCAGTCTACTCATTATCATAATCGATGCGTCGCGCGCGCTCGGTAACGGAATCGCACTCGGGATACGGGGACCATCGAATGTACGCTGGGCATGTAGAGGTTAACGTGTTCAAGATCGCGAGGGGAGCTCTCCGAAATGAACGGAAAATTTCACTTTTTTTCCGGATCGTAAGTAAACTTCAGTACAACCATCTTAATTATCGATGTCTACTTGTACCTTAGGTGGCATATCTAGTAATTTGGAGGCCGTTTTAAAGGTGAAATCTGATGTTTTTTGTTGGAAATGTTGGTTTTTGGGACAGTGACAGGATGATGTTGTCCAGGTCGCGGTATTAGCTTGGACCCCACTATCGCCAGACCATGTCCAAATGTTAAAAAAGGCGATAAGTTGGGTCCAAGCATAGCTACTCGGACTAGTACGATTTAGCGTTTTCGTGCCGTCATTTCCACTTCGAGAAAACATCATTTATAAAGTAAAATGCAGTTTTGTGACGCATAGCCTACTTGGTCAATCCGAAGCAGGTCGTTTCGTACCCAAGTCGTTTCGTACCCAAGTCGTTTCGTACCCAAGTCGTTTCGTACCCAAGTCGTTTCGTACCCAAGTCGTTTCGTACCCAGTCAATTATGATGCACAAAGGAGATTAAGCCAGTCATGCAAACCCGCTCCTGTTAGTGACCGACGCGCGGCATCATCATAGAGATGTATCAAGTTCCCACTAGGGATTAAGATTGCGTCCTACACTGGCTGATGAAGTCTCGACCAATGCGGTGGCGTGCATTCGATATTCACGCACAGTAGCTATCGAATGTGGGCCCTCTAGCGGCGAAAAATCCTTTGGAAAACACATTTTTGTTCCCGTTTTTATGAAGATTGTTTTCCCTTTATGAATTTTTAAAACTCATATTGAAAGAATATAACACTGGAATAACACAATAAACCAATTTAAAATCTATCGTATGGGGATCTACATTATTTTTGTTTTTATTTCAAAGGAAAAGCCGTATCCCCTTGAAAACCCGGGTAACTGGAGAATATATACATTAATAGATACATATTTTGTCCCTTTTATTTTTTTTCTCCGATGAAGTTTGAAGTAAGTATTCATTTTTAGAGGGTGGGGGAATAAATTCAAACTCATTAAGTAGAGCCTGTTAGTCCCAGAACATTGACCGGCAATTAGCGCGGTCGGCCGGCAATTCCCCACGGCTAAGTGCATTGGCGTATGAACCTCCCGGACTTGTGTTTTTTAAAAGTTTTTTTTTTAAGGTTTCAAATTTGCTTGTCATTTTGATTCCGTTACAGTTATGGCGTTCCAATATTCAGATATGATAGAAACTGAAGCTAAACCTTTTATGTGAGGGAAGGGTTCTGCATTACCCCTAATCCCCAACTATACCCATACAATCTTGGTAACCCATTGATCCAATTTCAATACTGTCCGCTCCAGTCATGCACCGCGGTGCCCCTCATTGATACAGCGGTATCTTTGATAAGAGATAGGGTGGTCATTGGTTAAAACATCTTCAACCGCGTGTCTGATTGGTTGATAGAATTATACTCAGGATCCTTCTGAAGTCTATAAAAAGCATCATCGAACAGAATCGAGTCATTCTGTTTCAAGACGAGATTCCTCTCCAGTCAAGATTCAAGAATTTTCAAGCTCAAGATGCCTATCAAGTATCCTTGCCTCTTCTGTAAGAAGTCTGTTCGTTCGAACCAGCATGCTTTCCAGTGTGACCGCTGCCAGGGATGGCAGCATGTTGGCTGCAACTCTGGTTTTAGTCACCAGCAGTACCAGGAGATCCGTGACGATCCATCCAGGCTGGAAGTTTGGATCTGTGCACCCTGTACAAGTCAAGACCAAGAACAGGAGGAAGACCCGATGGACATCGAGGAGAACGGAGACCTCCCTACTGATGACGGTGGTTTCAACGTCGAGACCGACTTTGTTGTACCACTTGAAGTAGCCGAGAATCCCCTCCCCGATGCTGCCCTACCCGCTGTAATCCCTGGCCTAGGTGATGAGGACATCACTACCTACAAGACGGTGGAGTCCGGCACGAAACGGGGTAAAGTCATCTTGGTTGATAGTCACGGCTACACCTACACGAAGAAGTGGAAGAAGGCCGGTTCCACTTCTTCCAAAGTCACATGGCTGTGTAGTGTCCGGGGCAAGTTGCACCGGTGTGCCGTGTCTGTTCACCAAGATGGCAACCTTTTTCATGCTGGACTTCACACCCAGCATACGCACCCAGCGCATCCCGGGGCAGACGTCGCAGTTCAAGTGAAGGCGTTGGTGATAACCAAGGCCAAGGCTGACATCTTCAAATCAGCAGGGGCCATTGTCGAGGATGTCATCACCACACATCTTCAACCTGACGCACCCGCTGCAAGTTGTCCGAATCCATCCAACCTTGCCCGGGCTGCAAACCGTCACCGCCAGAGCCAGCGCCCTCCCGAGCCACGAGACATTGACTTTGTAATCGACCAAGGCTTCATCCCCGAACACTTCCTCCAGAAAGACATTCACCTTGGTAGTGCTCGCCATGTGGTGTTTTTTACACCAGATCAACTCCATGTGCTGGATGGCGCCAAGACCTGGTACTTGGATGGAACTTTCAAGTTGGTGAAACGTCCGTTCACCCAACTGTTCTCAGTTCACGCCTTCGTCAAGGGAGACACCGGTGGGATGAAGCAGGTTCCGCTGGCCTTTGTCTTGATGACTCGGCGGACAAAGAAAGACTACAAGAAAGTGCTCAAGGCCCTGCGGAAGAAGCTGCCGTCCCGTGCTGCAAATCTTCGAGAGCTGGTGGTGGACTTCGAAGTTGGACTGTGGGGTGCCATCCGAGCTGTCTTTCCCGATGCTTCCGTGAAGGGCTGCCTGTTCCATTGGACACAGGCAGTCTGGAGAAAGTGTCAGGCACTCGGTTTGGCAGTACCCTACATGTCCAACGACGGAGTTCGGGATTTCATCGGCCAGCTGTTGTCGCTCCCGTTCTTGCCTCATGAACACATTGGGCCAGCTTTTGAAGAACTCAGCAGCCAGGTGACAGATCAACCTGTCATGGTCGAGCTGTGCAGCTACCTTCGCACCACGTGGCTGGAGAACTCATCATGGAGCCCACGTGACTGGTCAGTGTTCATGCGGAGTATCCGCACGAACAACGACGTGGAGGGCTGGCACCGGAGACTTAATGTGAGATCTGTGTGAGGACTAAGGATCGGAGGAGTGGTAGATCATTATTTTGTGAGTTGTGTTTATGTTTTGGTCTTTGCAGATATTTTTAACACTGGCGACCCCGGCCGCGTCCCTCTCTGTTGGTTTATTGTACAATGCTTTCACCCTTTAGAATAATGGTATGGTCCGCGCTGCCACTGAGGCAACATGGCGGGTGTTCGGCAGCCGATTTCGGATCGGCACGGAGAGCCAATTTTCTTGAACTAAAAATCGCGATTTTCAGACGTTTAACCTATTGATTTTAAGCACAAATCTTGTTTCTGTCCATACTGTATGGGTTACATACTGCTTTTGTCAATTTTAATGCATTTTGGATGTGCTGACGCTGTGTTGACGCTGTGTTGACGCTTTGGAGTGTGTTGACGCTGTGTTGACGCTGTTTAGTATGACCGTTATCTAGGTTCACGTTGATATGGACGAAAGGTTTGGGTCGACATGCTTTCGTGAGATTTTAGCCAATATTGATGGTGAATAAAACAGGAATTCGTCAAGTCGCAACGTACGAAGTGTACATGTGTCATGGCGTGACGAGTGGGGACCTTCGTGGCCATGTTTTGGCATGATTTCGGAGATTCAGACGGAAATCTCAAAGGTAAGCCTATAGATTATGTATTTACTCTGCTCAGAAGATGTAGTTTTTGTAGTTTCTCCTTGTTTTTAGCCTGCGACACAAGGATTTTGTGTACGTACGCCGCGCCATGACAGGAAGTTATTACAGTAATGTTGTACATGAAACAGTCGTAGCGTAGGCGCCTTGAGCTATCCCACAGCACGCACTTTTGGACGACGCAACGACTCGTGTATGTAGAAGACTTTCATCTAAGAAATATTTCTGCCCAGTGTGCCTTGCTAGTTGCAATTACCCAGAAAATCGTATTCGTAATAAATAATCACAATGCATTCCTTAATCCTAACAGTAACAGTCCTGAATCCTCCAATTTCATTATGATTTTTAAATTTCATGTAAATTTTAGTCAGCGTGGTCAGGATTTGCTGGCAATGGCATGCATCATGCAGGAACATGAATGATGATGGAGGAATGGAGGTCATTCTTTGCAGGCAGGAGCCTGACATTGTTCTTGAAAACTTCTCAAGGAAACTGTGTACTGTACATGTATGTTCTAAATGCGTAAACAAAGGATTTGACATGTAGGCCCTACATGTAGGTTACATTGCCAGGGCCGTCAATACATTAGGCTATTTCTTTTTTGCCCTCACTCAGTCATATAATTGTACTTTTTTTTTTGTAATTTGAAATTAATGGAAAAAATATTCTACAAATTGTAGAATATTTTTTCCATTAATTTCAAATTTGACCTGGGACTAAAATGACTTGAGACTTACCCCCTTAGTTGACATTGGACCGACTTTTATACATTTGTACCTGGGACCAAGTTGACCTGGAAGTGGAACTGAGTTGGCCATGCTGTCTCAGACGGTCAGACCCGCCTGTTAGGGACCGAGTTGGTAACAGTGGTTGTTGGGTACGGAGTTTACTCGAAACCCATGTAATGCATGCTCTTGTTCTTGTTGTGTACAAACACAAACGTCACGTAACTGTACATGAACTTGAATGTGTACTTTAATTTGCCATCTAGACCTATTGGTTGTCTCTCGGACGCTGTGGAGGAGGTTGGCCTACATTTCTTCTTATGCGGAGTGTACGGCATTCCACCATGACACGCAGAAGACGTACCCTGCCCTGACGAAGGATACCTTCAGAAAATTTGACAATTTTCATCGGTGAGCATCTTGATATTATTTTACTTAGAAATTGATCATGGCATGTATGTACATGCATGTACATACATCATGTACAAGTACATGTTTACATGTACATTGTACATGTATGTCTGTGCCTATAGAAAAAGATAAAATATGAAACTTTCTTATCTTCTATAGTTTTTAACACTCATATTCAATGCAAGAAAAATCCCAGCAAAGGCACAGACAACAATCTTGAAAATAACCTGGCAATAATTTTAAACAGAGACTTTTGAGACGCTTCCTTTTACCTGTCCTTTTCATTTTTTTTACGTCACATTTAACCTAATGTGCACATGTTCAAATTGACGTCAACACCAGAAAAGGACTGGTGTATTTGCTGTCACCATGCATCTCAAAGTATCCCTTTGACTTTGTTCCATTTGTTATATTCTTGTTGTGCTTTCAGGTTTTGAAGAGTTTCTTCCTATTTGTGGATTGAAGATGGCAACGACATGCATGGCCGGGTATAATGGACGAGCTTTGGATTCCTCCGCATCTGATCTGTACTACCCACCCATTGCAATTGAACTCCGTATCAGTTCCTGACCATGCCATGACATGGCCATGTTCATTCAAACAGCCCAACCCCCACTCTGAACCTTTCTAAATAGTCCATGGTGTGGAGTACATGTACAAATACTTTTAGTGTGATCTGAATTGGGAGTGGTAGGTGTAGTGTGTTCGCTGCCTCCCTGTCCCAGATGCTTGAATAACATAGTTGACTTAAACATTTCATAATGAATATCTTACTGCCGGGGGGTTGAGAGAATTGAGATAGTTTGGGAATTTCGGAGATAACTGGAGGTAATCTTTGATCAGGACAGTTTCTGTTTTGTCCTTATTGCCATTTCAGATGGTATATATCTTGTCAATGTCACCACAAACACTTTTAGAGCGCACCCATGCATTTTCGGTTTCACGAACTGACACTGATCTTAATTTTACCAATTAAATCGCTTTTTAATGCAAAATTTGTACATGTATAATCGCACAAGTACACGGATATTGCCGCATCATGCTTGGGTGTCAGTTCGTGAAAACAAAAATGTACGGGGTGCGCTCTAAAAGTGCCGCACTGTGGCGGATATCAGTTCATAAAACCCAAAATATCCCGGTTCTGTAAACACGCGCGCGTACAGCGCACACACGGGTGCGAGAGTGTCGTTCGTAGTGACGATGACAATCTGTACCTGATTTCATGAAACTTATTGTAACCTACGATGCATCGTTGTATCCCTAGGATGACGCATCCTGTGATTCATTTTACAAAATATGCTGTAAGTGCGACACGTCGTAGTGTATTCAAAGGACAAAAGGTGACTACATGTACATGTTCATGTATTTTCATGTTATGTATTTATTCAAAGTACAGTAGTCGTCGAAAAGTCAACAAAGAGTCGTCGATTGTACTTGTGAAAACTTTTCTAAAATATTTAACAAAATTGACGATGTATGATGCATTCACACTGGAAAAGAACTTCACAGTGGACTGTGTTTGCATCAAATTGTGAAGCGATGTAGTGCTTTGTAAATCTGGGGGGGGGGGGCAGGTCATCCAGGTACGTGTACACGTACGTATGTGAAATTTTAATTAAGCGAAAATTTGAAACCTGAAATTGCCATCACCACCACTTATGAAATAGTGCAGTTGAACTGCAAGCTCCTTTCTCCAACAAAATATTAATAATAAATAAATATAAAAAAACCTTTACTGTCTTCAGGTGTGAGGGTATGCTTAAATCCATTTGCCCTTTCATAAAGTTGAATTTTTGAATCACTTTCTTGAATCAACTGCAACTACCCTACTTAATTTTTCAGACTTTTCATAGTTTTATAAATTGCCAAACCTGATTTCACTAGTTGAGTTCATGCCTGCATTACATGTGCACTTTATTTACTTGTAAAATATGGCTGTTGTGAAGTTTCACTTCTGTAAATGAAACTTTTTTTTTAAAATGATATGGATTGGTTGTGAAATAAAGAATGCGTTTATTGCCAAACTAAAACCTATTTGTTATTGTTTTGTTTAAGCTATAGATCCAATTAATTGTCAGCAGCTTCCCCCAGAAAATTAAGAGGAAAGAGTGTCTAGCTATACTGATGGCAAATTCATGCTTGGTTTTGGATTGTGCTGCTTTAATATGCTGTACAACACTCACTCACTGTACACTAAACATTTGTGAATTTCGGATTGTGTGTTTATTTTGTCCACAGTGAGTGTTTTCTTCTAAAGACAGATATAGATGGTTCTTTATTTCTACGTAATCTGTTTTGCATTTTATGCATTTTTTTTTCAATGTCTTGCGATCGTCCCGAATGCGATGGTTTTACGTACGTACACATGTACAATGTACATGTACATGTGTACATGTTGTACGGCGCTTTTGTGTACACAACACACGCGGCGCTAGGCCAGTTGGTACCCGCGCGCCAGTTTGCATGTATTAGTGGGATACTAGATCGTAAACCAGCGATGCAGCAGCCCGAATTCTCAGCGAAGCTTTGGAATTGTAGTCTGACTTTCAACGTCTATATTTTATTTTAAAATGTCGACCCGACCAAGAAAAAGTATGATTTGGCTATTTTCATAACTGAATAATGGTATCAACATAAAGATTTCTTCTGAAAAACTGCGTTTCGCTTTTATTGAAGGCTTTTAAAAGTCTTCGATACGCGAATAAATTCATCCCGCATTGCAAAAATGTTGGCGAAAATTCCCCTAAAACACACCTTAGCATATAAATTATACCCCTTTCTCATTTATTTCCTAAAGAAAACATCATATCCCGTCATTGCCTCTCATTTTTGATAATAAAACATATTTCTAAAGTGTCTAATTTTGACATTATTTGGGACGAAACATCGATGTTTTTTCTGTATGTGGACGGCGCCATGTTGTGTGACGTCACCGGCATCATTGGAGTTCACAAATACAGCACTAACGCATTACAGAACCTTTTTGTGTGTACGCGCTATGCATGTGGAACTGCTGTGTCATGGCTTGGAGGATATTTTCTAGAAGGGATAATTGCGGAGACTCACACTCATGACAAGGAGGTATCTTTTTAGAAGGGATTATTGAAATGAAAACCATCATGGCTTGGAGGATATTTTTTTAGAAGGGATAATTGAGGAGACTAACCATCATGGCTTGGAGGATATATTGAGAAGGGATAATTGAGGAGACTAACCATCATGGCTAGGAGGATATTTTTTAGAAGGGATAATTGAGGAGACTTATCATCCTGGCAAGGAGGATATGTTTTAGATGTGATCATTATTAAGGAGACTAACCATCATGGATAGGAGGATCTTTTCTAAAGGGATAATTATTGTGGAGACTAATCATCACTGCAAGGAGGATTTTTTTTGATGGAGATTATTGAAATGAAAACCATCATGGCTTGGATGATATATTTTAGAAGGGATAATTGAGGAGACTAATCACCACGGCTAGGAGGATATTTTAGAAGGGAAAATTGAGGAGACTAAACATCATGGCTAGGAGGAATTTTTTGGAAGGGATTATTGAAATAAAAACCATTGTGGCTTGGAGGATATTGTTTTAGAAGGGATAATTAAGGAGACTAACCATCATGGCTTGGAGGATATTTGTTAAGAAGGGATAATTGAGGAAACTAACTATTATGAATGGGAGAATTTTTTTTAGAAGAAATTATTGAACGCACAAACCATCACGGCTTGGAAGCTATTTTTTTTTTAGAATGGATAATATTTTAGGATAGTAATCATCATGGCTTGGAGGAATTTTTTTTAGACGAGATTATTGAACAGACAAAGCATCACGGCTTGGAAGATATTTTTTAGATGTGATCATTGAGGAGGCTAACCATCATGGCTAGGAGGATATTTTTAGAAGGAATAATTGAGGAGACTATGGCTTGGAGGATATTTTTTTAGAAGGGATAACTGAGAAGCCTAACCATCATGGCCAGGATTATTTTTTTTCGTAGAGGTAATTGAATGACGTTTTCTGGTTTCTAATTTTGATCAAAAATATTAAATGCATAGAAAAAAAGGAACAGTCTCCTACCAAATCACTGCTCTATTCTGATGCTTGAATGAAGAAAATTTTAACAGACACTCACCTAAGCACAGTTCTTGAATTCTCTCGCGGAAGCACTCTTCAACACTTCAGCGGATTGCTGGCTGGCTGAAAAAAATACCAACAAAAATATGAGTCATTAAAAATCCTCTAGGAGATAACTTGGAGTCTGGTGGGAGGCATGGCTGAATTCCACAAGTACAATACGGCCAAAAAAATGTCTGTACAGTGAAAATGTAATTTGGGTTGACTATTTATCTCAAATGCGTTCTCCAAAAATCAAATCTATCCATGAATTCTACAAAATGCATCCAGCTATTGAACTTGTATAAAACTGTGTGCATCATCATGATCCAGTGCGTTTGTATTTGCGCCCTCTAGTCTATTCTGACCAGTGACACTTTTATCCTGCAATGCTTAAAAGTAACTTGATGAAACCGGAATGGCGCACTGTGAACTATAGCAAAATGTCAGTTGAACAACAGAGTTCAAAGGCACTGAGAATATCCACAAATAATAACACATATAAGACCGGCATTTTGAGATGTCCGGATACCTGTATACGTTCTTCCGTGACCAACTTCCGCATAACTTTTCATTCTGATTGAGTTTGAGTGATATCCGGAAATAATATGAGTACATTGCACTAGGATTTCATGTTTGGAAATTTAAACGATAAAGTCAATAGGAAAAAAAGGAGGCAAAAAAAAAGAGTGTGCTTGATCATGCCAAAAATATTGGCCAGGTTATAAAGAGTCCAGGTTTTGAGAGACTTTTTTTTGGAAACCGAAAATGTGAAACACCGATTTGTAGTTCCTCTGAAATATTATTTTGAATGATCAATACATCTTTACTGTTCTGAATCACAGCAGGGAACTTGATGTTTTATACTTGCGAAAAACTGCGGTCAGAAAACAGTCCAACCTAACAGTCGAACCTAAATAAAAAAGCCCATCAATGTGACTTCGTAGTGTATTATCCATATCGACAAGAATCCAAATGATTTTTGTTCAAGAAGTAAAGAAACCAGTAAGTATTTGGACAATTTGTTTTTGAGAGTGCACAATGGAAGTAGTAGCGGAAATATTGCCAGACAGGAATTCCTCATTTTTATTGCCTTGAAATTTGAACTCGCAAAACCGTGGTCTGCATCCGCACCAACTGTTTACATTATAAGAGCTGAAATAAAATAGCTCGATAATTTACAAAAGTGTTTGAAATTAACTCTTTCAGACGGGCTTAGTGAATGTTATGCACAAACAAAGTCCGTCTGAACAAGTTAATTTCAAACACATTTGTAAATTATCGCAATACTTTATCAACTCCAAAGTGGTCGTTGGGAAAAGGCACAACTTCTGGATCGGAATTAGCGCGCTGGTTTTGCTGTTAGCAGACGTGTATCAGAGTCATAGTGAAATGAAAAAGAACAATTTTTTCATAAAAATCTTGGGGTTTTTTCCAGTCCTCAAGCTACCACATTTTCACAAGCACACAAAGACGGGAAAATATCAAGCCTACCACCGCGCTCGCTGTTTGGAGAATCATTGAATCAGCAACATTCAACAAAATCTGAATCCCGCATTGATTCAAACACATTGTGCAAAAACAACAAATTTCTTCAGAGGAAAAATGATTGTTTCAAACACTCACCGAGCAAAATCTTGTTCTTGCAGTCAGTTCTCTCTCTGGTTGCCGTCCAAAGGTGTTATGACCCGCGGTTGATGTGAAGGGTGGACGGCCCCACGTGTCTTAAATAGTGCCATCGATTTCCTGAGCAGTGACTAAAAACTCGGACCTGGATTGTGATTGCATG